TTCTCAATAAACACCTTCTCCTTGGTAGTTTCAACATTTCTCCTTAGTTTTTTTTTTTTTAAGTTGTGGTGAAAAACACATACAATAAAATTTACCATTTTGGCTGGCCACAGTGGCTTACGCCTGTAATCCTAGTACTTGGGAGGGTGAGGCTAGCAGATTGCTTGAGGTCAGGATTTCAAAACCAACCTGGTCAACGTAGTGAAACCCCCTCTGTACTAACAATGCAAAAAAAGTAGCCAAACATGGTGATGTGTGCCTGTAATCCCAACTGCTTGGGAGGCTGAGGCAGGAGAATTGCTTGAACCTGGGAGGCGGAGGTTGCAGTGAGCTGAGATCACGCCATTGCACTCCATCCTGGGTGACAGAACAATACTCCATCTCTAAAATAAAATAAGATTTACCATTTTGACTGTTTCAAGTGTACAGTTCAGTAGCGTTAAGCACATTCACAATGTTGTGCAGCCATCCCTGCCATCTGTCTCCAGGACTCATTTCATCCTGCACAGCAGGAACTGTGTACCCATCCCCTCTCCATTGCACAGCCCCCGGCAACCACCATCTTACTTTCTGTCTGTGAATCTGATGACTCTAAGCACCTCATATAAGTGGAATAATGCGGTATTTGTTTGAGACCTCAGTCATGTCGGGGTCACCACCTGAGACATTGATCACCACCTGTGGAGTTCTGTCCCGCACACCCTGACTTCACGACAGGATGAATGAATGCACTCTCACACACTAGAATACAGTGAATCTGAGTGGGGTAGGGATGGTTGTCAGCCATTTTCAGAGGGTGATTGCAGCTAACCTAGTATGACTCCCTGTCCTCCTCATATTTATTTAGTATAGATTTGATAACACAGGTTCTAAGTCAACATGCTGTGGTTAATTAACATGGTTAAAAGAGTGGTTTTATGAATGATGAAAGGTCTTCATTCGGGGCCCAGAATAAACACTATTAACGGGTAATTTCCCTTCGACCTCCCTCTGAGAGGGTCATCCAGCTCAAAGTTTACATGAGCAAACAAATTAGGGTAGGGACAAAGGAATGAGGAGAAAACAGACTTAACTGGGAAGTTTTTTGTTATCCTAATCTTTTACCCTATGACTTAAAATTCTAACATAATAAACTGGCCACTTTCAGCTCATCTCATTAAAACCTTCTGGCCTTCCAAAAGGTTTGAGACTATAATCTTCTAACTTTCCATAATATTTCCCCATTATTTTGCCAGCCATCCCGAGTGATTCCCAACATTTGTTCTTTTGTGATTAGCTCATTTCACTTAGTAGAAATGTTGTCCCCAAGGTTCATCCACGTTGCAGCATGAGTCAGAATCTCTTCGCTTTTTGTTTTTTTGAGACAACGTCTTGGTCTGTTGCCCAGGCTGGAGTGCAGTGGTGCAATCTGGACCCACTGCAACCTCCACCTCCTGGACTCAGATGATTCCCATGCTTCAGCCTCCTGAGTAGCTGGGTTCACCGGGGTATGCTCCCACCACACCCAGCTAATTTTTATATTTTTAGTAGTGACCAGGTTTTACCATGTTGGCCAGTCTGGCCTCAAGCGATCGGCCTGCCTCAGCCTCCCAAAGGGTTGGGATTACAAGTGTGAGCCACTGCACCCAGCCAGAATCTCCTTTCTTTCTAAGGCTGAATAATGATATATTGTATGAATATGTCCCATTTTGTTTATCCGCTTGTCTGTGGATGGACACTTGGCTTGCTTTCACCTTTGGGTGAATGTGAACAGTACTGCTGTGAATGAGGTGTACAAATATCACTTCAAGACCCTGCTTTCTTCGGCATACATACTTAAAAGTGGAATTTTTGGATCATACGGTAATTCTATTTTTAATTTTTTGAGGCACTGCCATACTGTTTTACATAGCGGCTCCACCATTTTACATTCCTACCAACAGTGCGCAAGTCTTCTGATTTTTCCACATCCTCACCAACACTTATTTTCTGTTTTTTTTTCTTTTTGATAGCCATCCTAATGGTGCGAGCTGCCCCTGTATATTGTAAGTAGGAGTAACTACTGCCATTGCCATTTCTCAAACGTAGTCATGTTAGTGCATAAGGCAAGACCTGGGGGAGCAGCATGATGAGACCCTGAGCATCTCCCTGGCTCCTCCCACGTGCCTGGGATCATCTGCTTCCTCCTGTCTCCCCTCGATACTGTCTGCTTCCAGAGGGCAGGATGCATCTTTGCATGTCTTCATTCTGAGCTTCTAAGAAGAAACATCCAATACATGAACTGATCACATGACAGGGATTTGTTCTTCCTTTCTTTCCTTTTCCTGCCTTTTGCCTACCTCTCAGGAAGCTGAACTGCCTTCTCTTTGCCCAAGTAAAGCCTCTGGGACAGGGGACAGTGGCTCAGAAACAGCCAGGCAGTTTCCATGGACTTCTTCCTCCCATTTATTTCTTTAGCCTTCATCAGTCAGTGTGGACAAGAGGCTAGCAAGACCATTCATTTTCCTTTTTTATTTTTAGAGACATGGCTCCCAGCAGTGTGCCCTCTGTCGCCCAAGCTGGAGTACAGTGGGGCAATCATAGCTCATTGTAGCCTAAAACTCCTGAGCTCAACCGATCCTCCTGACTCAGCCTCTCAAGTAGCTGGGACTACAGGTGTGAGCCGCTGCACCTGGCCCAGAACCATTCTTGATATTTGCACAATGGAGGGGAAACAGCGGCTGCTTACTCAGAATGTCAGTGTGTCGGCACCACGAGCTTCACAGCCCATGTGCACTGTCCCTGACCTGCTGGCCCACCTCCTGGGCATGGGACAGCAGCCCAGCCTGTGGCAACAAACTCCCCCGTTTCTCCCAGTTCCCTGTCTGCTGGGACAGGTAGCGTATGCACAGCTCTATGGCAAAGGCATCAGCCTCTCCTGCAGGTCCCCTGCCAGGTGCTTCCCGGAGGTAGGGAGAAGCCCAGGAGGGCTCCAAGCTCATTCTCCAGGGTGAGCTTGTCCTTCTCCCCACTTTGCATCCATCTGTCCTTCCTAACAGCTGGCCAGACACAGAAGCAAAAAGCAACGTACATAAACTCAAACCAGTTCCCACAGTTGCATGAAATCAAATTCCTATAATGAATCCCTCATTCTATATCAACTCATCAGTTCAGCTTTGATTGAGCCTTCGCAGACACAGAACCACTCGTCAGGACTGAGGATGTGGGAAAGCTGGAATGGATCCTCCAGTTAGAGTCTGAGGGTGAGATTCAGGGAGCAAACTGTGAATCACGGGAGGACAGGGCTCACAGAGGCCATGGGAGGTGGCCCAGGGACCAGAAAAGCCACGTGGGCCAGAGACAGGAGAACCGCCAGGCACGTGGCCAGGAGTGGGAGGATGAGCTTGGTGAGGAGACAGGGTGACAAGGTCAGGGGACAGCCAGGAGGGTGAGTGTCAGGGAATCCATAGCCTCTACCCTGCACCTGCATGGGAGAAGCAAGTGAAGCTCCAAGAGCACCAACCTCTTCTTTCCTGAGTGGTCAGAGCTCCATGGGTCTGCTACTGCAATGACACGGGTGGCACTTTGTCCTTTGCAGGCACTTTTCAGTACTGTGTCTCTGTCTCCCTGGAGGCAGTGGATGAGCGTGTAGGCACTGGAGTTGACAGGCCTGGGTATGTGCACGTCCCTGCTGTACCATGACCAGCCATGGGATATATAGCAAGTTATTTAACCCTTTGTGTCTCAGTTTCCCCATCTGTAAGTAAGGATGTCTACCTTATGTGGTTGTTGGGGATTTTATGCATGCAAAACATCTAGCACATGCCGGATGCACAGTGACTACTCGGAAAGGGGGATTTCGCTTCGGAACTCAAATGGGCTCCTTCTGGGTGGCTCTGCACTGGGAGTGAGGTCCTCCTCCAGCGCCAGCAGGGGAGTCTTCCAGCTGTCGTCTGCTCAGGCTCTGTCTCCTGCATGTAACTTTCTTCCATTGGTTTCTCCAGGGGTTGTCTTAATGGCTTCTGTGCTTTCTCACCAAGGGTGTTTTGGCCCTTTCTTAAGAGCAGGGCTGAGTCACCCTCCTCTGTGTTTCTCCTAAGTCTGTGGGTGCTGCCACCCTAGGGTGGGAGTGCCATGTGACCAGATCAGTCTCTTCCTTCAGGGCACACTGCTGGGAGCTGCCACCCATCAGGGCAGCCTCTGGGGACCTGTTTTCTAGATTGCATTTCAGATAAAAATGATATTGATAATCATTAGCGGAAAATGTATGCTTATCTTGCCTAAGACATGTCTGTAATTTTTGTAAGAAGAACATAGCAACAAAGATTTTCACATTGATTTCTGTGTTTCTCTATTCTGTTAGGCTGGCAATCTGCTGAGAACCTCAGATTCACAAGAGGCTCACGGGAGGGGAAAGCAGATTTAGGCCCCTTCAAAGAGTTTCCTGGATCATCTGTGAAAACATTTTTAAGACTATGGCACTATAGATGTGGCTACAGACAGATGTACTAGTTGTTATTTCTTTTCTTTTTTCTTTTTCGCTCTGTTGCCAGGCTGGAGTGCAGTGGCACAATCTCAGCTCACTGCAACCTCTACCTCCCGGGTTCAAGCAATTCTCCTGCCTCAGCCTCCCAAGTAGCTGGGACTACAGGTGCATGCCATGATGCCCAGCTAATTTTTGTATTTTTTAGTAGAGATGGGGTTTCACCTTGTTGGCAGGATGGTCTCGATCTCTTGACCTCGTGATCCACCCACCTCTGCCTCTCAAAGTACTGGGATTACAGGTGTGAGTCACTGCACCCAGCCTGCATCATGGTTTTTAATATACCAGCTGAAGGCATGAAATAAAGCATTGTGGCAGTTAATGTCACAGGTCAACTTGCCTGGATTGAGGGATACCCAGCTGGCCTGCAGAGCAGTATTTCTGGGGGTGTGTGAGGGTTTTCTGTTTTTATGTGTGTGTGTGTAATATTTTTATTTTTAAATTTTTATTTCTTTTTAAATTTTAAATTTTAATTTTTCTCTATTTCTTGCATTTTCAGTGAGGGTGTTTCTGAAAGGGATTGGAGTTTGAATCCATTGAGTAAAGATCATCCTTTTCAATGTGGGGGACAGCATATCCCATCCGCTGAGAACCCAGACAAAACAGAAAAAGGAGGAGGTAAGGGGGATTCTCTCTCTCTCTCTCTTTTTTGGATCTGGGCCTTGCATTTTCTCCAGCCCTTGGACCTCTGCATTCCGGTGCTCAGGCCTTTGGACTCCAGAACTTACACACCATAAGCTCCCCAGTTCTCAAGCCTTTTTACTCAGGCTGCATGACACCCCTGGCTTTCCCGGGCCTCCAGCCTGCAGACAGCCAGTCCCGGGACTTCCCAGCCTTCATAATCACATGAGCCAGTTCCTATAATAGATCACTCCCTCCTTCCCCCACTACCTTTTTTTTCCTGTGAGAGGGCATCTGTTGCCCAGGCTGGAGTGCAGTAGCACGATCTCAGCTCACTGCAACCTCTGCCTCCCGGGTTCAAGTGGTTCTCCTGCCTCAGCCTCCCAAGTAGCTGAAACTACTGGCATGTGCCACCACACTGGCTAATTTTTGTATTTTTAGTAGAGATGAGGTTTTGCCACATTGGCCAGGCTGGTCTTAAACTTCTGACCTCAAGTGACCTGTCTGTCTCAGCCTCCCAAAGTACTGGGATCACAGGTGTGAGCCACCATGTCCAGCCCCTAAATTTGCTCTTATTTGCCTCTGTCTATTGAGTCTGTTTCTCTGAAGAATACTGACTAATATAAAAGTTGAGTCATAGGAAGCAAAAGACTTGCTCGTAAAGGAGAGATGAGGTCCAACGTATTTTAGAAGTTTTCCTTCCCTTTTTCTTACACTTAAGGCAGCATGAAAAAAAGGAAAAACTAAACAATCAAAAATTCAACCGATCAAATTATTCAGTCATACACCTTAAATACATGCAATGCAGAAAGCACAGCCAGGTTAACATTTTGTGAAACAAATTTAAAAGCTTCCGTAAAAGCTTCTAAAGAGACACTCTCTGAGAGTGACTGTCTCGTAGAGCAGGGGAATCGGAAAAGAACCCACCTCTGAGTGTGGCGCCCTGAGCCCTCTGACAGTCATCAGCCCCGACCGGGTCTGTCTCAGCTCCTTCATGTGGTGTCAGAGGGCTCGCCTTCTCACACTGCAGGCTAACTCTGCCACATCCTGGTAAAAACAAGCCTGACCAAGGGATCATCATCTCTGTTAGTGTGTCCAAAGGTCTGCCTTAAAAGGAGCTTTTTATAAAGGATGAGAGAAATGCTCTGTTGCATGAAGGATTATTCCCAACTGAGGGGAAAACATCAAGAATGACTTCTGTCTGCGCTGGAGTTTGCAAAACTGCTTTATATTTGCATTGTTCCAGGTGCATTGTCTAGCAACAACGTATGTGTGATCCTGTCACAGATACTCCTGCCTGCGGGCTCCAGGATAGCCTGGGCGATGCAGCTCTGGGGGCTGGAGCAAGGGGTGCTCACACCAGGTCCTCAGGTGCCAGGGCGTGTACCTGAGCCCATCTCTCAGGCCCACTCTTTGAACTTCTAAGCTCTTAACAAAGGTGGCGTTAGAGTCTGCTTCCATATATCCATGTATATATCCATATACCTCTACAGGGGAGGGAAGAGAGACAGTCTTTGCACAGTGGATTTTTTTCCCCCAATTCCCATTTAATTTTGGCTCCTGGGGCAATGTCATCTTTTCCATATGAAAAAAAAGCAGCAAGTTCAACCCAAAATAGAAATCTTAAGGACAAAAGCAAGAACAGGGAAAAAAGGAAATAGCAAAAGGAAGAGATGAGATGTTGCAAAGAAGGTGGGATGTGGCCCACCCCCTCTCCTCTGGGGAGTGGCTCAAACGTTTAGGTGGTGGCACACACCTTTCCACATAGGTCAGGGATGTTACTCCTTTTGGAGGGTAAGAAAAAGTGGAAATGGGAAGGGCATTTCTAGAAGCTAAGGGACCCAGGTAGGTCTCTCCCTCTTGATCTCCTTTTCTGATTAGGAGACAGGAAGGGATCCAAAATGTGACAGGCGGCCAGGTGTGGTGGCTCACGCCTGTAATCCCAGCACCTTGGGAGGCGGAGAGGGGGGTGGTTCACCTGAGGTCAGGAGTTCGAGACCAGACTGGCCAACATGGTGAAACTCCATCTCCATTATAAATACAAAAATTAGTCGGGCATGGTGGCACGCGTTTGTGGTCCCAGCTACTCAGGAAGCTGAGGGAGGGGAATCCCTTGGATCTGGGAGGCAGAGGTTTCAGTGAGCCAAAATTGTGCATTGCACTCCAGCCTGGGCAATACAGCAAGACTCTATCTCAAAAAAAAAAAAAAGTGTGAGAGGAGAAGAGTGGGAGAAGGAAAGATGCCACTTGATGAAGTGGGGCAGACTCCTCCATAGGAAGCTGAAAATGGGATAATCCTGTTACCACCTCCCCTGAAGCTGAGAAATGGAGCACAGAATACCTGGGAATTATGACTTTACAAGCCTGGCTTTCCCTCTCCAAAAACTGTTCTAGAATGGAAAATCCCATCCTCTTCCTTGCAGTAGCTTCTCTTTTAAATTTTTAATTAAAAAAAAAAAAAAGACACATGGTCTCACTATGTTGCCCAGGCTGGCTTCAAACATCTAAGCTTAAGCAATCCTCCAGCCTCAGCCTCCCCAAGTGCTGAGATTGTTGTCATGAGCCACCGTGCCCGGCCCCTCGCAGTAGCTTCTACCTCTACACCATCTACATTCCCAATGCTGGCTACTATGTGGGCATAGGATGGTGCACATTTTCTGGGTTTTCAGCACCCAGTTGGTTTTAAGTGGGATCTGAATGGGACCCAGCTTCCTGGAGAATTATTCTGAAAATAGAGGGAAATATTAACTGGGCAGATGGGAGGAGGGTGCTAGAAGGAAATGCATGGTTACCCAGATTCCCAGAAATCTAGGTTTCCTGGAGTGGAAAGTGAGAGAAGACATTCAACAGACAAATATTGATTGAGGACCTACTATGTGCCAGGCGCTGCTCTGGACCCTCCCTCTCCCCAGATGAACAAGGTAGAGGCAGCAAACATGACTACTGAGGGAGAAGATAGGGGCAGTCAAGGAATAAGGCTGAGGGAATTGAGATGCCTGAGGTGATGGGGGCTCTGCCTTAGGCCTCCCATTGGGCTTCCTCACTGCGTCCTCCTCCTCTTCTGTGGTAACATCCTGGACTGCTGATGTTCAGAGACGAAGTCATTCACGTTGTTCTGAGCCTCAGCGAACTCCATCTCGTTCATGCCTTCCCCTACACACCAGTGGTGGACAGCCTTCTGGCAGAACACAGTGGGGAACTGCTCTGAGATACCATGGAGAGCTCCTGGCGGGGGGGGGGGGGATGTGCTGTTGCCGACAAGGTGACGGCCATCTTGTAGCCGTGAGGCAGGATGTCACATGGCTGCTGACGTTGTCAGCATCCATTCCATGAGGTAGCTCCTGGCTACTCTTGTTCTGCACATTGAGCGTCTGCTCATGGACCTCCTTCATGGACAGTTGGATATCCATGGAAGATGGCAGTCTGGTGGAGAAGTAGTCATGGTGGGGCAGCCATCATGTCCTTGGCATCAAAGACCCTCTGGGTGAGTTTGGGCATGGTGAGAGCCCTATGCTGCTGGCTTCCACAACTGGTGAGAGAGGCAGAGGGAGGCATGAAGAACTGGAGACGTGGGAAGGACACTTTGTTGGCTGCTAGCTTGCAGAGGTCTGTATTGAGCTGGTGAGGGAAGCAGAGGCAGGTGGTAACCCCACTCATGTTAGCTGAGACAGGTGTGTCAGGTCCCCATAGTTGTGTGTGGTCAGCTCAAGGGTGCAGAAGAAAATATAAGGAGACTTGATGTCTGTTTCGCAGGTCTCATCGGTGGATGGGTGAGGAGGGATCACTGCAGGGCTCAGCTACAGCGCCGGACACTTTGAGTGAGGGCTTTACCCTAGGGTTGTTCACGATACAGTCAGGATCCTCTTTTTGGATCTTGCTGTTGGGGAGGGTGCTCATTCCAGAGCCTGTGTCCTCACGCAGGGAGTGGGTCAGCTGGAAGCCCTGCAGGCAGTCACAGCTCTCGGCTTCCTTCTGCACATATCCGGGAATGGATCAACCAGCTCAGCCCTGCTGCATGCTGCTGCCTGCCTCAAACTGACTGAAAGTAGTCTGGTCTGCAGATCCGAGCAAAAGTGCTCACTACCCGGTGCGCTAGAAACCAGTGCTATGCACTGGGCTTTTGAGAAAAACGCTTTTTACTGCAGGTCGATCCACCAGGAGATAAGGGTCTAGCTCAAATCAGTCTCCCTGTGCTGGGCTTAATAAGGCTGCACGTTTGTTAGAAAAGGTTTGGGGAGTGGACAGGGGAGTCTGCAAAGTCCTTGGCGTGTGCATTTATCTCTTCATGCCTTTTTATGGGCCCCACGTGCAAATTCTGGGGGAGTCAGGATGAAACATGCAGAGAAAATTCAGGTTGTAGCATCACCACACTCATTCTGCACAGATTTCTGCGGGTCGTATTGGTTTCAACTGATTTCAGCCTTTCTGTTACCTTATAGGTGGAGGGAGTTTCAGCAAGCTGTTTCTTTTTTTATCTGCCATCCTGTAGGCTTAAGACTTTCTGTGAGTCACTGGTTTCTTTAACTCTTTGGGGCACGGTTTCAACAGCCTCTGAGCAAAGAGTCCACGATCCCAAGTTCTGGATTCATGGGGACAGTGGGAGGAACGTCCTTGTCTCCAGTGGCACACCAAGATGTGGTCCAATAAGGATCCTGGTCCCTGGGCAGGTACTGGTGAGGTCCACCCTGTGACCATCACTTGTCACTCCCCAGAAGTTGGCACTGATCTGACCACACGCTGTCCTGTCTGGATGTGCACAGTTTCCTCCATGGTTTACATTTATTTTAATTTTTTTGCTCACCTCAAGGATATATGGAGCAAGAAAATACATGATTTTTTTTTCTCTGCTAGTGTCAGGCTGAAGGTGCCCCAGAGGCTGGAGCAACAAGGTCCGAATGCGATGGTAGGAAGGTTCTGAGAGGGGCCATACTGCGATGTTGCAACAAGAAATGCCAGCCCAGAACCAGACTCACGCCACCATCTCCTCTCTAGCAGCG